GGCCCCAGAGCCCCCCAGCCAAGCCCACTCAGAGCACAGCTCCAGGGCTGACCCCTCAGCCCCAGAGCAGCCCCCAGTCCTGCTCAGCACCCCAGCAGGGCTGCTCATGGGCTGCCAGAGTGCCAAGTGCCAGCACACTGCTGCCCCTAAGGCAGGCTTTGCCCATGCTGGCAGCCTGAGGCAGGGTCACTGCTAGCTGACCTCATCCCCTCCACACCAGGTCACTCTGGGAGGGAGGAAGGGTTAAACACAGGAGGAAGCACCGAGGAGCCTGTGGTGCCACAAGCTGCTGCAAGGAACGAGAAATCCCAAACACAACTGCAGCCCCAAACACAACTGCAAAAAAGCAGTCCCAAACACAACTGCAAAAAAGCAGTCCCAAACACAACTGCAGCCCCAAACACAACTGCAAAAAAGCAAAAAAGCAGTCCCAAGCACAACTGCAGTCCCAAACACAACTGCAGCCCCAAACACAACTGCAGCCCCAAACACAACTGCAAAAAAGCAGTCCCAAACACAACTGCAAAAAAGCAGTCCCAAACACAACTGCAAAAAAGCAGTCCCAAACACAACTGAAAAACGGCAAAAAAAGCAGTCCCAAACACAACTGCAGTCCCAAACATAACTGCACCAATCCTTTTCTCTGGTGAAAAAGCACACCCTGACAGGCACCTGGGATCCTGCTCTCAAGTGCAGGAAACCTCAGGATTTCTTCTGAAAACCAAATGTCCTTGCAAGAAACCCCTCTGGTTCTAGGATTCAGCCTGTCCTGCCTTGTCCTTCAGTGCACCTCCTGCCCAGGGACACTGCCCCCTGCATCCATCCCCACTGCTGGCACACAGCTCATAAATGTCTTCATGGAGCAGGCATCCAACCCAGCCCCACAGGGAGAGCTGAGCCCCAGGCAGAGGCTTAGCTGGCAGCCAGGGTAATTTCTGACAGGTTCCCCACCCCTGAGCAGGCATCACAGGCTCTGCAGTGGGTCAGTGCCTCCTCAGCTCAGTCCCCAGCTAAAATAACCTTTTCAGGGTTATTTTAGCATTCCCAAGGATGATAGGTCTTAGATGAAGGGGACTTGGGACAGGTTCAAACATTCCTTCTGAGGAACTTCACCAGCAGTGGGAAAACTGCCCTCACCCCTAGGGAGCACAAGAGGAGCTGCATTGGCTCAAACAGAGCAAGGCAGGCACCCACTGAGGGAAAGTGAGGGAAAGGACTTTTCCCCAGGCAACCTGAGCCCCAGCAGGGATGGGAATGACCCCAGCACCTTGGAGCACGTGCAGTTACAGCAGAAGCAGGTTTTACTGCAGCACCTTCCAGGGACCCACATCTCACCCCTGAGATTTGCTGATGTCAGACTGTGATGGAGACCCAGCCACGTCCTGACCTCTGCCCACCAAATACAACTCAAAATCCTCAGGTCCTGGGGTGAGAGCTGGGCTGATCTCATGAGGTGTCCCTCATCCATGTATTGCCACTCCACTGTGAACCTCCTCAGGCAGCAACCTCTGTGTGCCCCTAGCCAAACGTGGTGGTTCAGCTGAAGAGAGCCAAGGACGCCCATCTCTTAAGCCCCAGTATAACCAGTAAGGCCAAAACCTCAGAGCACAAGCTGCCCTAAATCCCAAAGCAGCCTCCGTCAGGCTGTGTCTGGGTGGAAGCACAGGGAAGGGCACACTCCTGGCTGCACTGACATGCTCCAGGAAGCACTGTGCCAACAAGTGTCAGTGGCCCAAGTGCCAGTCTGAGACTGAATCCACACAGGGACAGAGCTCATCCTCCTGTGAACCAGCAGCAACAACCAGCAGTGAGGAGGAGGCTGGAAGGAACAGAACCCACCAGTGATGAGACAGAACTGTCCCAGCAGCACGGGGAATGGGGCTGGTGCAAGGACCTGGAGGATGCAGTGAGGGTGTCAGGCACAGCCACACAGCACAGCTCTTGGACAGCCCCACGAGCCCCAGTGAGCTCCAGCTCTGCCCCCCTCAGCACACCCCCGAGTGCTGCAGCCTCCTGGCAGTGCCTTCCTCAGCAGCACAGCAACCTGGCTGCTGGCTCACAGGAGCAGAGGGCAGGTCTGCACCCCTCTGAGCTCCCCCTCCCCACAAGACCTTACCTTCACGGATGGCTGAGCAGACAGAGCTCCATTCTTTCTGTCATCCTCATCCCACGCTTCCTCCTGATCCCTGGGCTCTGTGTTATTATTGCAGCCTCCCAACTCCTCTTCCTCTTTGGGGACCCCATCACTGTTCAGCCCCTGCAGAAGTGCCACCACTGCCTCTGGCTTGGGCAGTTTAGTGATCTTGAAGTGTTTCTTATAATGGGGCGTGTCCTTGCGGATAAGCCTCTGCTTCTCCACTGGGAACGGCCGCTCTTCGTCCTCATCCTCATCCTCACTGCGGATCAGCGTGTCCTCGGCGAAGTGCACGGTGGGCTGTGACAGCAAAGCCAGACTTGCTGTGAGCCTCGGGGAACAGAGGGGTGGCAGCACAGAACCTGCAGTCCCTGTGACCCCTCTCCCACACAGGCGGAGCCGGCGTCACAGCTGGAGTGCCCAGCACAATGCAGGAAGGTATTCCCATTCCCCATCCCTGCCTTTTCCCATAACCATGCTTCCTCAGGCCAGGGTCACTGCTGGAGTGCCCAGCACAATGCAGGAAGGTATTCCCATTCCCATCCCTGCCTTTTCCCACAACCACACCTTCCCCAGGCCAGTGTCACTGCTGGTGTGCCCAGCACAATGCAGGAAGGTATTCCCATTCCCCATCCCTGCCTTTTTCCATAACCACACCTTCCCAGGCCAGTTGTCACTGCTGGTGTGCCCAGCACAATGCAGGAAGGTATTCCCATTCCCCATCCCTGCCTTTTTCCATAACCCCACCTTCCCCAGGCCAGTGTCACTGCTGGTGTGCCCAGCACAATGCAGGAAGGTATTCCCATTCCCCATCCCTGCCTTTTTCCATAACCATGCTTTCCCAGGCCAGTGTCACTGCTGCTGTGCCCAGCACAATGCAGGAAGGTATTCCCATTCCCCATCCCTGCCTTTTTCCATAACCATGCTTCCTCAGGCCAGTGTCACTGCTGGTGTGCCCAGCACAATGCAGGAAGGTATTCCCATTCCCCATTCCCTGCCTTTTCCCATAATCACACCTTCCCCAGGCCAGTGTCACTGCTGGTGTGCCCAGCACAATGCAGGAAGGTATTCCCATTCCCCATCCCTGCCTTTTTCCATAACCACACCTTCCCCATTGCAGTGTCACTGCTGGAGTGCCCAGCACAACGCAGGAAGGTATTCCCATTCCCCATCCCTGCCTTTTTCCAGAACCACACCTTCCCCAGGCACATTTCTGTCAGCTCCAGGGATGGAGGGCATTCAAACCCCTCACAATCCCTCCAGCTTTCCCACAGCCTGCTTGGCTCCCACACTATCTACTCCAGGCTCCCACAAGCTGCCTCAGCCTCTGCTTGCACTGCCTTCCCACGGCCTGGATCTGCCTCCAGCGATGCCCAAATCCCACATCCATTTACCTGTACCTCTATTTCCCACTTCCTCTGAAACTTCCAGCGCCTTTCCCTGTAGCTATGGTATTATGAAAAATCCTTTGTTGGGATTTTTCCTTTCCTGAGAAGCTGAGGAGCCTCAGGAGAGAAATGTAAACAATTACTATCTGCTGCTGTGGAATGCAACAGGTGCATCCATGATTGGTCCATGTGGATTGTTTTCCATGGTGATGACCAATCACAGCCACCTGTGCCAAGGCTGTGAGCAGTCACAGGATTTTGTTATTCTATTCTGTTCTGCTCTTGTTGTAGCCTTCTGATCTCTCTGTTCTTTTAATATAGTCTTAATGTAGTATTTTAATATAATATTTAACATAATAAATCAGCCTTCTGAAATAGAGTCAAGCCTCGTGTCTCCACACACAGAGAGTCATCAACATTTCCCTTTTCCTCATGACCCTGCTGCAGTTCCCAGGCTCCTACCTCGTTGTACTCCACTTCCACATCTTCCTCCTCCGGGTCAGCAGCGTCCCTGTGCTCCTGCTCGGCGCGGGGCTTGGCCTCCCTGTGCGGCTCCCGCAGGTCGGGCAGCTGCCCGTTGGGCCAGCCCCGCTCCCTCTCCTCTGCCCTGCAGTCCACGGAGGCCGTGCTGGCGGACACGTGCGAGTCCTCGCTGCGGTTCGACGTGGCGCTCAGCCTCTTCTCCTGGGGAGACGGTGTGGTGCTCAGGGTGGGACCCAGAGCAGCCAGCCGCGCAGTGAGACTGCTGCGAGGTGGCAGTGCAGCACCAACAGAGCCAGCTTTTCCTCGGGCTGCCCACAGCTTTCCCCCCTGAGCTCCCTCCGTGCGACTGGGTGCACCCTGCTCCACCTCCTGTGCAGGGATTTACTGCCAGCTCCCACCAGGGCAGCAAGGTGCCTCCTGCAAGCACTCCATTCCCACCACTCTAATTTACTGGGAATATCAGAGCCTTCTCTTCCTCTCCCTGTGCTGTAAAATTGGTACCAACACACACAATTCCCCTTCCACTGTTCTCTGCCTCCTGGTTCTATCTCCTGCTCTATTTCACAGGCTCCCCATGACACCTCAAGGCAGATTCCCAACCTTCCCAGGCAATCCATTCCCAATCTTTCCCAAAAATCAGCCCTTTCCACCTCATTTCCTAGATAAGCTAAAAGTTCCCAGTGGAAGATGTCTTTGCCATGGCACGGAGGTGGAACTCAGCGGTGAGTGAGATTCTTCCCAGCCCAAACCATTCCATGACCCTTCTCTGTGGTCATCCATTCCCCAGGGACCAGCACTCACCTCCGAGTTGGGAGAGCTGGGGTTGGCATCAGCCTTGGCAGCGTTCACCTCGCTGCGCCGCACCTCGATCACCTTCTTCATCACCTTCAGCTCGCTGGGGTGAGGGGTGGCTCTGCGCTGCAGGCCCTGCCAAGGAGAAACCCTCAGGAAGGGGATTCCAGCCCGGCAGCACTGCCAGGGGTCCTGGGTGGTAAGGTATGTGTGCATTCTACCACCATCTGTCAGAGGTGGGGCAGTTATCTCCTGTTCATTGGGCAGCTTTCTTCATCTCTTCCACAACCGATTCTCCCTCCAGGAGATAGCTTCTGTTCATGGGCCATTAATTATTAATTGTCTTCTGTTAATGGGCCAGTGAGTGTCCCTGCATGGCTGATAAAATTCCATCATCCCACTGGAAAGGAGCCAAGCATTCCTACCTGGGTAGAAACTGACCCTGGGAATACCACAGCAGCCTTTGCCCACTGCATTCCCAGAGGAGCAGCTTTCTCCTGCCCTGCATTCCCAGAGGAAGAGCAGGCCCATCTCCAGCAGCCCTGGAGCTCCAGAGGAAAACTCCCCCCTTGTGCAGGATCCCTGCTCCAGCAGAAGCACAGCTGGCACTGCAGGAGGGCTGAGCCCCCATGGATGGGACTGTGCCACCACCCTGACACACAGCAGGTCAGTTCCTATTCTGACTCTGTCAGTGTTTCGGGGTTTTTTTTTTGTACTATTGCGTTTGCATTTTTAATTTTCCTAGTAAAGAAGTGTTATTCCTGCTCCCATATCTTTGCCTGAGAGCCTCCTAATTTCAAAATTATAATAATTCAGAGGGATGGGGTTTACATTTTCCATTTCAGGAGAGGCTCCTCCTTCCCCAGCAGACACCTGTCTTTGCTAACCCAGACACCAGGCCATGACCCTCTGCAGGTGACTAACACCTTTATCAGAGCCAGAGCCCCAAAGGCACACCACCAACACCTCTGGCTGCAGGACCTGCTCCAGGCCCTCCCCAGCCTGCAGCTGGGATGGGAAAGAACAGAGGCAGGGAGCCCTGACAGCTCTCTCTATCATCCTGCCCCCCAGCTGACAGGGGCTTTGGGAAGAATGATGGAGCTGGGAAGTCTAAAGTGGTGTTTCAGGCTTAGTAAATCAAAAACTCTCGACACAGAAACTTCTCCAGAACACAGGTGAGAAATCTTGGGATGTCTTCCTAACTCCTTCGGACTCAACAGGTCTTGACAAGCCCAAATGCAGCAGAATTGATGCTGCTTAGTGAGTTCCATCCCAGGTAGAAAACCAAGAAAACCAGCATTCTAAAACTAGGCGCAATGTTGAGAACAATTCCAAAAAACCCCAAAGCTCCCAATGCCAGCAGCACACATGCACTGCCAGGACAGCTGCCAACACCATTCATTAAAGGACTCGGATCTCAAGGATGGCTTTCCATAAACTAAAAAGGAATAAAGTCCTGCAGGAGACTGAAACCCTCAGAGCACTTGCTGAGAACTTCTGTCCTGGCCTTTGCATCTGCCCTGGAAGCACAACCACCTCTTGCAGGTTTTGAGGCTGCTTACAGTGTTTAGTACTTTACTAACAGAACACTCCACAGCATGGGCTGCTGGAACCTGGCTGCTGAAAATTTCAGACTTTCTGTGCTGAAAGGCACTGACCCCCAAGAGAACACTCCTTTGACCTGAGGCCATGGAGAAGCTTCCAAAATGGAATGACAGAACTGAGATTGTGGGTGTGTAATTTGAATAGAAGTGTGTAATGTCACAGGGTGGAAAACTTACAGTTTAAGGGTTTAGAACAGAGTAATATATATAGAACAAGGTGGAGGTTTTAGGGCAGAGGCTGGTCCTTCTTCACCTTCTTCTCCATGGGCTTGGGTGGTTTTGTGTAAATGGATAAAAAGGTCCACACTGCGGGCCATGGGTGGTTTGTTATTGGGTTAAAAGTAAAAATAATTTAGGTGTCATTTCTTAATTGGACAGTTTATCCTTAAAAGGCCTTGTAAAGAGAGAGATAGGGCTCCATTTTTTAGTTTGTTACAGTGAAGTGCTGTAGAACTCAGGGTTTGTGAGACTGTAACATGGATAAGAACTAATAAACATCTGAGTCCTAGCAGGAAATCCTGTCTCACACATTTAATCCTGACCCTGGCAAAAAGAAGATAAGACTTGACAATGGGCTGCACTGCCTGCATGCTTGGAGGGATGGGGATGGCCTGGGTTTGGCTGGGCAGCCTTTCCCCATGGTGGGGGTGACCTAAAACCCTATCCTGACAGCGCTCTACTGGGATCTCTGACATTTTGGGTGCTCCACTCCCACAGAAGAGCCTCAAAATACGACTCTGCACCACGGCTCCAGGGGAATTCATTCCCTTCCACTCCTGCTGGGGTCCTCAGGGAAGCAAACACCCTTCAGAATGGAAGTCATGCCCATGCCTACAGCAGTGTAAAACACGGACACCAGAGCGGGCCCGTCTTTGGAAACTCAGCTTGTCCCTTGCTTCCACAGGGAGCCAACAAGCCTCCAGGAGCTCCTTACCCGTCTCTCAGCTCCAGACTCCTCGTCCTCGTCTCCTTTGGGCTCATCCAGGAACTGGATCACACTGACTCTGTTTAAGTTGCTGTCTGTCCAGCTCTCATCCACGCTGTTCTGCAGCAGGTTCTCTGGGGGGGAAGAGAACAGAGTGGGAGCTCCTTTTGGGAAGAGCAGGGCTGTACATGTGGATGGAAGTCAGCTCTTATCCCACTAGGGTGCATGGGTCTGCCCATGGCATCAGAGGCCTTGAGGACAAAGGCTGTGGCCTCACCATCCTGTCACCTCCTGTACATCTCCCACCAGACCTAGAGCAGTCTCCACAGCACTGTCTGATGCTTCAGCTCTAGCACTCCTTACCCAAGGAGTGCAGGAAAAGGCAGAATTCAGGCAGGAATTCCATGCTGACAGGACAGTGAAAATTAACTGCTTGGTCAGCAGATCCAAGCAGAACACTCAAAGATGAGGCTGCAGGGTGTTGTCACCTGGCAGAAAGCAATTCCTCAGTTTTAACAATCACTGCCTGGGAAAGGTGCCCCAGATCCATCCATACAAGAGCCTGGATCTGCCACAGGAATCACAGCAAGGGACAGCCCAGCCCAGCAGAGAGGTCCAAGGCCTCAGCCCCCTCAGAGCACGAGGCTCTGCAGGCAGCGCTTGTGCTGCAGGTTCTTACCCAGGCTGGGAGAGGGCTGCTGGGGGAGCAGGTAGCAAGTGAGAACCTTTTCTCCTGTCTTCTCATCATCCTCGGTCTGGAATTTCAGCATGGGCTGGGACTGGTTTTCTGCCAGCCACAGGGCTTTCAGATTAAGATTTGTCAAAGCAAAGGGCAAGTTCTGCAGCCTGCAAAAGAGAAGAGCAACTGCTTGTTAAACTTAGCTGGTCAGGAAGGAGCTTCACCTCAGCTCCAGACTGCCCCACCTCAACAGAGAGGGACAGAGACAATGCTGTGGATCCCCCAGTCCTGTTCCCACTAGAACAGCTGGTTTTGTCCCTGGCTGTGGACTGGGCTCCAGTACTCCATCCTCACCAGCCTTCAGCAGAGGACAACTCCCTCCAACAGTGTGGAGGGGTTTACAAACAGAAAAACAATGCCCTCACAGACCAGTGTATGGAATGCTCCCTCCACAACCTCTGGTCAGCATCCAGCTGCTCCCAAACCCAGCAACCCCACAAACAGAACCAGCTGCTCCCACACCTCCCAAACCCACAAACAGAACCAACTGCTCCCAAACCCACAAACAGAACCAGCTCCTACCAAACCCACAAACAGAACCAACTGCTCCCAAACCCACAAACAGAACCAGCTGCTCCCAAACCCACCAAGCCCACAAACAGAACCACAGGACCTCAGAACAGCTCCAGGCACCCACCCCCCACGGACGAGGCTTTGGCACCGACCACAAACCCACAAAATCTGGGGGAGGAAGGCAGCCAGGAGCCAGGGATCTCCTCTGGTCGCTGTTTCACAGGACACAGTGCCCTCACACTTGTGCCTCTCCTCCACCCTGTGTTTGGGTGACTCAGAGCAGGGCTTCAGAGGCAAAGCTCAAGCCCTCAGCAACCAGCCTGGGCTCTTCCACACCTGGAATTCTCCAGATTTGCTGGATTTCTCCAAAACTAAAGCTGCCAGAAACTAGGAGCCTGCAAGTCCTCAGAGCCCCAAATGCCATCTTTCATCTGATGCCCAGACCCTGGGGAAATGATTTCTTTTTCCCTTGGAAAATGGCCTGTTTGTGGCCACTAACCCCGGCTGAATGTGGCCTGCCAAGCCAGAAATTTGCGAATTTTGCTGGATTTCTATCCACACCATGGATCCCGGGATCCACACAGCTCCAGCTCCTCCCTCAGCAGCTGTCAGAGTCCTAGATACTAAGAGTTTTAAACTTTCTACTCTAACAAACTCTCACTCCCAAGAGAACACTACATTTGACCTGAGGCCATAGAAAAGACTTCCAAAATTAACTGGTAACACTGAGATTACAAGCATATAGTTGATTAAAAGTATATAATATCACAAAGTAGAAAATTTAGAATTTTAGAATTTAGTAACATAGTTTTATTTACTATTTTTATTATATAATCTTTATAATTTATATCATTTTAATATATAAAAAATAACATAATTTAATAATAATTAAATATTAAAAATATATATTATAGTTTTATTATAAATGTTTTAAAATTTAGTTTTAGAATATAGTAATACATATAAAGCTAAAATGGAAGCTTTAAAACTTGTATTTTCTTCCCTAATAAAAACCAGTTATTCCTTCTCCCTTATTTTTGCCTGAGAGTCCCTTCATTTCAAATTTACAACAATTCAGAGGGAAGGGGTTTACATGTTCCATTCCAGGGGAGGCTCCTGCCCTCCTCAGCAGACACCTGTCTGTTCAAAGGCAGACGCCCAGAAGGCAGCCAGCAGCCTGGCAGTGCTGCTCACCTGTTGCCAGCCACGTCCAGCACGTGCAGCTCGGTGGTGTTGGCCAGCTCGGGGGGCAGCAGGGCCAGGCGGTTGTCGCGCAGGGACAGAACGTTGAGGTTGGCACAGCCTCCGATCTCTGCCGGCAGCGCCGTCAGCCGGTTCCGGTCCACGTTCAGGTTCGTCAGCTTGGCCAGCTTGCCCAGGGACTTGGGCAAGGCCTGCGAAGGAGCCCAGTCAGTGGTTGCAAGAGGGAAGGGCAGCACAGGTAAAAGGCACACAGCCCTTGGTCTGGGAACAAGCTGCCTTCCATCCCATCAGACGCATTTGGGAAAACGTTCCTGGGACATCTTTGGGACAGGTTTTCCCTCAGGCTCATAGACTGATCCGTGCCAACTCTTCCCCTCAACACAGCACACTCCAAGCACCACTGCTCAAGACTTCCCTTGTGTTTATCTGCCCCTTCCCAATCCTCATGTTTTACCAGTCAAATCACAGGCAGTTGGGAGCAGGGCCATTTCCAATCACACCATCCCAAACCCCTCACCAATGCAGCCTGGGATGGAGCCTTGCACCTGTCAGCTGGGATGGCCAATCCCAGCATCCCTGCCATCCCAGAGAATGATTTAGGGGAAGAAAGTCAGTGAGAGAAAGCAGCTTCCAAACACGTGTGAATTTGGTGAACCTGTTAGGAAGCAGCTGGAGCATGCTCAGGAATTCAGCTCGGAGGGCAGAAGAAGGGAAGGGACCCCTGCAGCTGGCTGCAGTGAACAGCGTGGGAGAGGCTGTAGCTCCCTGAAAGGTGGCTGTGGTCAGGTGGGGTTGGGCTTTTCTCCAGGAACTGACAGAACCAGAGCACCCAGTCGCAAGCTGCACCAAGGGAAATTTAGGCTGGATATGAGGAAAAAGCTTTTCACTGAAAGAGTGATAAAGTTCTGGAGTGGCTGCCCAGGGAAGTGGTGGAGTCACCATCCCTGGATGTGTTCAAAAAGAGACTGGATGTGGCACTCGGTACCAGGGTTTAGCTGAGGTGTTAGGGCTGGGTTGGACTTGATGATCTTAATGTCTCTTCCAACCCGGTGATTTTGTGAATTCTGTGATTCTGTGAGGCAGGTGGCTGCTGTGTACTCACCGTCAGCATGTTCTCAGTCAGGATGAGCTCAGACAGGTTTTCACAGTCCCCAATCGACTCTGTCATGTCTGTCAGCCGGTTCTGGTCCACCTTGAGGATGGAGAGCTGCTTCAGCTGACCTGGCCAGGGTGACAAGTTAGGTGTGAGCACCCAGAGAGAAGGATGCTGCTCTACACTCACCTGGCTGTGATCCCATCAAGGACCACACAACCCAACCACGCAGCCTCTGCTTTTCCTCCCACCAGCCTTGTTGTGTCTGGTGTCCCATGTGTGGAGACGCATGTTTCAGAAGGCTGGTTTATTATATTATGATATATATTATATTAAAATACTATACTAAAAACTATACTAAAAGAATAGAGAGAAAAGATTCATCAGAAGGCTAGAAAGAACAAGAATGGAATGCATAACAAAGACTTGTGACTCCCTGAAAGTCCGAGCCAGCTGATTGGTGGATGTTAGTTGTTTCTAATTAAGAGCCAATCACAGATGCACCTCTTGCACTCCACAGCAGCAGACAGTTATTGTTTACATTTCTTTCCTGAGGCCCTCAGCTCCTCAGGAGGGAAAAATCCTAGCAAAGGATTTTTCATAAAATATCTTGATAACAAGGCCTGGTCACAGCCCTCACACACGCCTGATGCAGATGAAGCACCTGAAGTGTCCTGCAGAGCTCTGCTCACCTGTCCCACCCACTGCTCCCGCCCTCGATGGCCGTGCCTGTGTCCATGAATCCCTGATTCCCTGGCACAGCCAAGTTTCTGTTTCTTGCCAAGGAAGTCCTGCAGCACCCCCAGCTGACAGCACTCACCGATCCCATCGGGAATGCATTCCAGCAGGTTCTGTGACAGCAGCAAGTCCGTCAGTGCCACCAGCCCGCTGACCTCGTTGGGCAGCTGCTCCAGCTTGTTCTCAGACACGTCCAGACAGACCAGGCGGCGCAGATTGCCCAGCTCCTGGAGAGAGAGGAGAGCCCACGGCTCAGGGAGCAGCAGGGCAGGGCAGGGCAGGGCAGGGCAGGACAGATGTGCACCCATGGCTCAGGGAGCAGCAGGGCAGGGCAGGGGGGTGTGTGCCCACGGCTCAGGGAGCAGCAGGGCAGGGGTGGGTGTGTGCTCAGGGAGCAGCGGGGCAGGGCAGGGCAGGGCAGGGCAGGGGGGTGCATGATCAGGGTGTGACAGAGCAGGGCAGGGAGCTGTGTGCCCATGGCTCAGGGAGTGACAGGGCAGGGCAGGGTGTGCCCATGGTTCAGGGAGCAGCAGGGCAGGGCAGGGCAGGGGAGGGGTGTGTGTGTGCCCATGGTTCAGGGAGCAGCAGGGCAGGGCAGGGCAGGGGAGGGGTGTGTGTGTGCCCATGGTTCAGGGAGCAGCAGGGCAGGGCAGGGCAGGGGAGGGGTGTGTGTGTGCCCATGGTTCAGGGAGCAGCAGGGCAGGGCAGGGCAGGGGAGGGGTGTGTGTGTGCCCATGGTTCAGGGAGCAGCAGGGCAGGGCAGGGCAGGGGAGGGGTGTGTGTGTGCCCATGGTTCAGGGAGCAGCAGGGCAGGGCAGGGCAGGGGAGGGGTGTGTGTGTGCCCATGGTTCAGGGAGCAGCAGGGCAGGGCAGGGCAGGGGAGGGGTGTGTGTGTGCCCATGGTTCAGGGAGCAGCAGGGCAGGGCAGGGCAGTACAGGGCAGGGGGGTGTGTGCACATGTCTCAGGGAGCAGCAGGGCAGGGCAGGACAGATGTGTGCCCATGGCTCAGGGAGCAGCAGGGCAGGGCAGGGCAGGGCAGGGGTGTGTGCTGAGCAGACACTCACCGGTGGCAGGGCTGAGAGCTGGTTCCGGTCCAGCCACAGCTCACGCAGGTTCGGGAGCGCGCCCAGAGTGTCCGGCTGCAGAGACAGGACAGTGAGGACATCAGCCAGGACATCAGCCCCTTCCAGGGACAGGGGGCTGCTCGAGGATGTGCAAATACACCACTCTGCAAAGCCAGGCACTGCTCTGCCTCTCACCCCTGCCAGCACTGCCCAGGGATCAATACAAGAGAGCAGCACACTGGGAATGTCTGGGAATGTCTGGGAATGTCTGGGAATGTCTGGGATGGCTGCAGGAGCTCCAGGGGCAAACACGGACTGCAACAGCAGGACTGTGTCAGCAGGCAAGGCAGAACTGAACCTGCAGCACAGCTCTGATGGAGAGCAGCTGAGGGAGCTGGGGCACAAGGGGGCTCAGGGGAGATCTTGTTTTCTGCAGCTCCCTGGCAGGAGGGTGCAGCCAGGCGGGGCTCAGGCTCTGCTCTCAGGGAACAAGGGACAAAGGCAAACGGTCTCAAGTTGTGCCAGGGGAGGTTCAGGTTGGATATTGGGAAAATTCCTCCTGGAAAGGGCTGTCCAGCCCTTGCACAGGCTGCCCTGGGCAGAGGTGGAGTCCCCTGGGGTGACTTAAGAGCTGTGTGGATGTGGCACTTGGGTTAGTGGTGGCCTTGGCAATGCTGGGAGAGTGGTTGAACTCAGTGGCCTCAGATGCTCTTTCCAACCTAAATGATTCCATGATTCCAGGGGTTTGGAAATTCTGGCCTTACGGAAGAAATGCATCTTCCTCCTCTCAGACATGAAAATAAACATTTGGGTACCACTGGCCAGCTCAGGATGACCCAGTGGCACCATCAGCTGTGACAGACACATGTTCACACCCCACACCCCCCAAGCAATCAGCACTTGGGTTTGGAGTTGGCCCCACTGGAGCATGGCTCAAGTGTCACACACCTGTTCTCACAGGTGAGCTCAGCCTGTGCACAGCTAAGCTGCCTGAACACCTCTGCCTGCCAGCTTTGAACAGTTTCTGCTAAAGACCCTTCCAGAACACAATGAGGAAGACCCAGTAACAGCTAAATCCACAGCTGCAAATTACAGAATATCATGGGGTGTCCCCAAATGCCCAGATAACCTGAACTCAGACTGTGCCCTTGCTCTCCACATGCTGAGCCCTCCATGGAGAGAGCCCCACACTGGGCTACCCTCACTGCCATGGACAACACGGAATGGCCCAGCACTCTGTGGGGCAGAAATCACATCAGAAAGCAGAAAGGCAGGAAGCTGGATGAGAAGAAAAACAGCTGGGGGCAGTGCAGGACAGAGAAGGGAAGCACCAGAGTCTTGCTGGAAAGGAAAGATCCTTGCCAGCCAGACAGGAAGAATTACCATCCCAGAGGCTGGAAAGGACAGGGCAGGCAGTGTGTGAGGCCAGCAGGACACAAGACACAAGGGCTGACACATGAAGAGAAAATTCATCTGGGAATGATGACTGGGCCATGCTGGGCACACCAGAATCTCCCCAAATAACCCGAGGGTCTATCTCTTTACATTTCAGGTGGAAACCCAGTTGCAGCGAGGTGCAGGATCTGCCCCTGCCAACCACCCAAACCCCTCCCCACCAGCCCTCACCTACCAGCACTTCCAGGTCATTGCCACCGAGATCCAACTGCTCTAACTTGACAAGGAAGGAGAGGGAGCTGCAAGGCACAGGGGACAGAGAGATAAAACAAGAAATAAAGAGCGGAAGGTTAGCATCTGGGACACACATTGCACAAATCACATGATCTCCAGTAACTCCTAAAGCAGGTGGGGCACTCCTGACCTTTCTCACGGTCCCTCTGAGCCCAGCACTTTGTCGAGCTGGTCCCTTCCCCAGGCCAGGCCGTTCACCCCAGGGAATTGGGTCAGAGGCTCCAGCAGTCCCACTGGTACCAGTCTGCCCTCTGCTCCTCCCACCACAACACACCCTTGGATTAAAAGCACAGCAGGTGAGCAGCCACACCTTCCCATGGCTGCCTGCTCACAGCGAGGACAGGGACCTGGGCACGGACTGACAGGCAACAGGAGGTGCTCAGCAGAGGACAGGACGTGTGTGGGGGGCAAGGGGAGCACACAGCTGCAGGGACAGGAAGGAATGACAATTCCACAGCCTCAGCTTCCCCAGACGGGAGGCTCATGCTACTGGAGGGGAAGGGAAGACAACAGCGGCCCGATGTCTCGGCCGAGGGAGCGTGTACAGACAGAAGCTCACGATGAAGGCACTGCACAGGACCTGTCCACACCCACCCCACACACCACACCTGCGGTGGGCAAGCCCTGCAGTCCCGCAAACCCACGGGGGGTTCTCCTGACATGGTCCAGGTGCTCGTTTGTCCTCACAGCCGAGTGTGACCCATCTACTCCAGCTCCACCAGAGCACTGCTGCCCCTCACTGTGTGCCAGGGTGGAGCTGCCAGCCCTGCCCACTCCCCAGGAACAGCTTCCTTCTCTTCTTAGGGAACCGCTCCAATAGAGAAATCCCCATATTTCTCTGGAAACAGGTCCACCTCTCAAGGCCACCCAAACCAAGCCTGTTGGGGGTGCAATAAAAGGGAGCTGTCTTGCCTGGGCCAGGCTGTAAAAACACATCTGGGTTATCAGGAAAATTAATTTCCTGCTGCATGCAGTGGTGGATTTTGAGATAAACTCCAGCAAAGGTTTATCCCCTGTTTCACCCACAGGATCCTGTTGCACAGCACTCCTTCACCATGAATGTACACCAACTCTAACTCGTCTGGAGGTGATGCAGCCCTGACTGTCCCTTTGCACCTACACAGCTTGAATTCCCAAAACAGGAACAAGAGACCTGGGCAACCCACACTGATGACATCTGGCAAAAGGCCTCAGTATAGACCACCCTCCACTATTCCAAAAGAACCCAGGAGAGCTGCCCTTCCCAAGTCTCTGGCAGCATCCCAGCTGCATGGGAGAAATGAGGGGTGATCACAAGCTGAACCATTCCAGAACTCAGTCAACATCTGAAGACTGACCAATTACATGGAATTTTGGCAAACAAAGGTCACTGCAAGCTGGATCTTTCAAGAAGCTCTACAATACCAAAAGGACCTGATGCATTATGGTGATCCAAACTCTCAGCACACTGTGTGCCAGGGTGGAGCTGCCAGCCCTGCCCACTCCCCAGGAACAGCTTCCTTCTCTTCTTAGGGAACCGTTCCAATAGAGAAATCCCCATATTTCTCTGGAAACAGGTCCACCTCTCAAGGCCACCCAAACCAAGCCTGTTGGGGGTGCAATAAAAGGGAGCTGTCTTGCCTGGGCCAGGCTGTAAAAACACATCTGGGTTATCAGGAAAATTAATTTCCTGCTGCATGCAGTGGTGGATTTTGAGATAAACTCCAGCAAAGGTTTATCAACAGTTTCACCTACAGGATCCTGTTACACAGCACTCCTTCACCATGAATGTACACCAACTCTAACTCGTCTGGAGGTGATGCAGCCCTGACTGTCCCTTTGCACCTACACAGCTTGAATTCCCAAAACAGGAACAAGAGACCTGGGCAACCCACACTGATGACATCTGGCAAAAGGCCTCAGTATAGACCACCCTCCACTATTCCAAAAGAACCCAGGAGAGCTGCCCTTCCCAAGTCTCTGGCAGCATCCCAGCTGCATGGGAGAAATGAGGGGTGATCACAAGCTGAACCATTCCAGAACTCAGTCAACATCTGAAGACTGACCAATTACATGGAATTTTGGCAAACAAAGGTCACTGCAAGCTGGATCTTTCAAGAAGCTCTACAATACCAAAAGGACCCGATGCATTATGGTGCTCCAAACTCTCAGCACTGAAGCCCACCTATCCATCCACTGGGAACAAAGCACCAGCCATTTCTTGCTTAAGCCATTCTCCTCTTTGGCAAGGTCACCTGATCTCATTTAGAGCTGTTCTTATGCACAATGTGCAGCCACAGTAAGTCCCAGGGCCTCAGGCAGAGAACCCCACAGCATCACTGAAATGGGTTTGGCCATGGACTGCCATCTTGTACTTGACTGACACCTCTGCTCAGAACTACCTTGGCCTTCAAGATCCACGTTCTGCTTTTGGAAATCATGCCAAAACAGAATTTGGAGAACTGGGGAAAGACGAAAACAAGCTGAATTTGCATTACAGAGTGAGTATCCAGCCTAGATTAACCCTCCAATGAAAACCACCAAAACCTCATAGCACACTACCAGCATCCTGCTGGATGGCACCCAGCTCTACCAAAGGGCAACATGGGAGCACTGAGCAAGAGAGATCTCCCAAAAAACCCAAAGGCTGTGGTCACAGACTGAATTCTAAAGACTCCAGAGATTTGGTGGTTCTGAGATGGCCAAAAGTTATTGGGAACACCTTCTCTGCAGTTTGGAAGCTCAGCCTTGGATGAAGCTGCTGCACCTCTTTGCTGACATGGTGTAAGCCAGCTGTGGCACCTGCCTGTGAGAGACCCAGGACAGGAACAGACAGAAGGGCAACACCAGGACCCCAACTCCCCCTGCCTGCCAGTTCTCAGCCCAGAATAAGTGTCCAAGGCCAAGCTGGGCGAGGCTTGGAGCACCCTGCTCTTGTGGAAGGTGTCCCTGCCCAAGGCAATGGGCTGGAACGTGATGGGCCTTAAGGTCCCTTCCGACCCAACCCATCCTGGGCTTCCATGATAAGGAGTTCTAACCCATATTGTCCTCTGTGGTGATACTTCACATGGGACCACCTCAGCTGCCCCCTCGTGTCAGCTTTGTGTGAATTCCCAAAATAGGAACCAGTGCTGCTGCTGTGCACAAGGAACCTGCTGACTGGCATCAGACAAGGCCATCTGTGACTCTGATCTGTGCTCCCACAGGTTGTAACCACAGGGGGAAGTGCCAGCAGACAAACTGAGCTCCTGCCAGGCACTGTAAGAGAGCTCTGAGCACAGGTGACAACAGCTGTACACTTCACTGAGGAGTTCATGTGGCCCCAAAGTGCTGTTCAAAAAGGAGTCAGCAGAATCCTTTCAGTGACATCCAAGGAAAGCTGGGGGAATCATCAGTGGGATGCATAAGCAGGCAGGAAACGAGCTGACAGAGCTGCTGGAGGGCAGAAAACTCAACAAACTCGGATGGGCCTGAGCAAAGACTAAAGCAGCAACGGGACAGTTCTCCACGTCCATCCACTGGAGAGCATTACCTCCACCAGCCATGTTCCCTGCCTGGAACTCATCCCTATCCTGACTCCAAAACCTGGAACAACACTTACCTCTTCTCCCTTGCTGGCTTATTTTTGTCTGCTGCAGGGGAGGCAGTTATCCCACCCAGAACAACCAGCAGGGATATCCAACAGAACAGATTTCAGAAGCAAAATGGACCCTTCAGCTGTATCCTGTTGCTCCTCAAATCCTGAAACCTCACTGTGCACAGAGCTCCTCCTACACCCCCATCCACAGTTTTCTCCTTCTTTCCAAAAGAATCCATTGCCTGCTCCACCTCTTCAGGAAAAACGGGGTTCTCACTATTTCCAGCAGCTTTTTTTGGGAATCCTGTCTATTCTAAATCAATCCTTACACAGGCTGAGTACAGGCTCTGAACATCCTTTGCTGCTCTCCAGCCCTGGACCATCCTCACCCCAACTGATGGAAATCCAGCAAGATGCAGCCTATTTGTGCCCAGCCTGAGCCCTCCCAAGCCAAGTGATGGTGCCTGCACTGGTCCCTGAGGAAGCAGCAGAAGGACCAGGCAGGAGACTCCTACAGCCCCCAGACAGACACTCACGTGGGGAGAGTCTTTAGCAGGTTCTCACGCAGCTCCAAAGTCACCAGGTTTGCCAAACTGCAAGAGAAAAGGGAGCAAGAAAGCCAGGTTCACTGGACAGGGCTCAGGGATACAAGGGGCTGCTCATCTCCCTTCCCTTGGAACCACCCCTTGTGTCCTGTGCAATGCATGGATGTGCACACGTGGATGGAGATGGGGAACAGAAACACGATGTAAATGGCTCTGCTGGACACGGTGCTTGCTGCAGTCACAAGGAACAACACTGTGCCCACACTCAGGACAAGGAACACGCTGCCACAACAGGACTGCCTGCCCAAAGAGGTCAAACCCCTCACATGAGGAAAGCCTAACCCCATGGGAGAGGCACTGCACCCCACGAGGCCATTGGCCAGCAGCAGAAATCTGAATCAAACATCGTCAGGCAGCCCACACCTGCTTGGAAAGGGGCAAATGGGCACTCAGAACACAGGGAAAAACTGGATTTCAGAAGACTGGATCAATCCTTGCTGTGCCACAACCACAGCAGGGGAAGCAGCTGGGAGCAGGACAGGAACCTTAGCAGGAAGGTCTGTTAACAAACCAAGGCTCAGAGGTGCTCTCTGTAGCACCAGGGCAAAGCTGCTCCTGGCTTGTCCCTCCAGGCCCTGCCACTGTCCTCGTGCCAGCAGCAAGGTGTCCCCACCCCAGCCCCTCCCCAGGGGGCTGCCACAACAGGCCATACTCACTTCCCAATGTCAGTGGGGAGGCTCTGCAGGGACACATCGTTCAAGGCCAAGTGGCCCAGGCTCCGGAGCTGGGTGAAGCCCTCAGGCAGCCTGTGAGAATATGAACAGACTCCGTTAATCCTGCGTGCAAAGCACAGAATCCCCCAAAACATCAAATCCACCAAAGTCAATCTCATCCCAATTGGCATCAAGGTGTGGAAAGGAGAAGAACCGGGACCATCACCAACCCTGGATGCTGATCCAGGACAAGTTCTGCTTCCCAGACCACAAAACACACTTGCACCAGGCATTACCTGCCCAGGATGGCAAACTCAGCCCTGCAGTACTTAAGCACAAGTCCCAGACTAAATCATGCCATGGGAGCATTTAGACTTGAAGAAATGAGTGCTCCCAAGCATTCCAAGTGCCCAAAACAAAGGATATCTCTGCAGATGACACTGCAGCACTCCCCGGCACCAAGCACCATCACAGCAGACCCAATGTGTGACAGAACAGGGAAAAGCCCTGGAAGGAAATTCCTGGAGGAAATTCCTCTGCTTCCACAGGCAGCTCATAGAGCCCCCTCAGCACCCACCCCCCCAACTCATCTGAACTGAGCAGAAAAAGCTCTGACAAGTAACACCTGGTGCAGAAGTGCTGGTCACTCCTGTGGTACAGGGATTGTCACCACCAGGGAAGCTTGTCCCACTCCAGCAGTGCCTGGGACCAGGAGAGGGAGCACAGTTAAATGTGCCTCAAACCTGGGCAGCACCTGCCCTGAGCACAAAGGGACCTGGACACCTGAGGCCACAAAGGGACCTGCAGGGACCCCTGCAGCAAGAGAACAGTGCCTGGAAATGAGGCTCAGCATGGCAGGGGAGCCACACAGAATCCCAACTTTATGTGTTAAAAGCTCCAGGGTACTGAAAGACAAACCAGAGATTCCTGCTTGGGCACAGCTCTGAGCACTGAGGTAAGAGGGAAACAACCAAACACGGGGAACAAAGCATGGCTGTCCTCAGTTCTGAATAAGAGATGTGGAAAAGGGGCTAAGAAGGGCCAAAAAGAGCTGAGAGTGGGGCCAAAAAGGGGCTCTAGGGTGCAGAGCATGACATGCAGGCTTTTTCTCCTCTGCAGGACAAGCCCTCATCCATTCTGGTTTGTGACCAGTGCAAAGGGAGTGACAAACTCATTGCAAGAGGACAGAAATCCTCACTGTTTACACCAGCAAAACAGCAGCTCATCACCCACAGCCCCAGGCCCCGAGGATGGAGCTCACCCCAGCTCCTCCAGCACCAAGTGTTCCACTGCCAGGAGAGCAGCTTTGGAAGAGACAGGGCTACCCCAGCCTTGGCTTCACAGGGAGACAATTACAAGATGAAGATCAGAGAAAGTCAGGCACAATGTGCAATTTCTCAGCTGGACTAATGGGCTGCACGTGCCTTCCTACCTGGAGAGAGGATTCCCACTGAAGTCTGCGATTTCCAGGGATTTGCAGAATTTGATGCTTTCAGGAATTTCTGGAATGTCTGGAAAAAAACAGGTGAAAGAAAAAAAGAGGCTTGAGAAAATGGGACAGCAGGTAGTGGTGGCAGCCTGAGACATGGCAACATGTCAGAGCTGAGGAGCACTGAGGGAGAGGAAAGGCACAGCTTCTCACAGCACGAGAGAAAGGCACAGCTTCTCCCAGCAATGAGGGAAAGGCACAGCTTCTCCCAGCAATGAGGGAAAGGCACAGCTTCCCCAGCACCAGGGAAAGGCACAGCTTCCCCCAGCACGGAAGGAAAGGCACACCTTTCCCCAGCACAGTGGGCAAGAGGGAAAGGCACAGCTTCTCCCAGCATTGAGGGAAAGGCACAGCTTCCCCAGCATTGAGGGAAAGGCACAGCTTCCCCAGCATTGAGGGAAAGGCACAGCTTCCCCAGCATTGAGGGAAAGGCACAGCTTCCCCAGCATTGAGGGAAAGGCACAGCTTCCCCAGCACCAGGAAAGGCACAGCTTCTCCCAGCAATGAGGGAAAGGCACAGCTTCCCCCAGCACCAGGAAAGGCACAGCTTCCCCCAGCAGAGGGAAAGGCACAGCTTCTCCCAGCAATGAGGGAAAGGCACAGCTTCCCCCAGCACCAAGAAAGGCACAGCTTCCCCCAGCAGGAGGGCAGGGGAGCACAGTGGGTCTGGGCACTGCTCCTGCCCAGCCATGGCCTCACCGTTGCGGGAGATGTCCAGCTCCACCAGCTGCATGAAGTTGGCCACCTCGGGCGGAAGCCTCTGGATCTCATTGTCGCTCAGGCCCAGCTTGCGCAGGTTCAGGAGCCTGAAGAAAGGCTGAGACAGAAGTGACACAGCAGGGTCAGCAGCAGCTCTGGGGAACACCCAGCTCATCTCAGGAGAAGCCTGAGTACCCACCCTGAGACCCCTGCCTGCTCCCACCACCCCATCCCAGCCAGGGGCAGTCACCAAATGGATCAGAAGCCCCTGAGATCCCTGCCTGCTCCCACCACCCCAGCCCAGCCAGGGGCAGTCACCAAATGGATCAGAATCCCCTGAGACCCCTGCCTGCTCCCCCTGTCCCATCCCAGCCAGGGGCAGTCACCAAATGGATCAGAATCCCCGTGAAGGGCTATGAGGGATGAGGGTACAAGAAAAAAGGCATGAATGAGCTGAGGCTGATCATTAATTTAGCATCTGGTACCCCACTGCTCTCCTCCCTCCTGCACAGGATACAGAGCAGACATTCCCTGTTCCCTACAGTAACAGTTCCCCTCAGGCTCTGCAGCCCAGCACCACAGGGAGGTCACCTAGAGCAGCTTGCAGCAGACACCTGAAGCCAGGGGCAGTCACCAAATGGATCAGAATCCCCTGAGACCCCTGCCTGCCTCCACCACCCCATCCCAGCCAGGGGCAGTCACCAAATGGATCAGAATCCCCGTGAAGGGCTATGAGGGATGAGGGTACAAGAAAAAAGGCATGAATGAGCTGAGGCTGATCATTAATTTAGCATCTGGTACCCCACTGCTCTCCTCCCTCCTGCACAGGATACAGAGCAGACATTCCCTGTTCCCTACAGTAACAGTTCCCCTCAGGCTCTGCAGCCCAGCACCACAGGGAGGTCACCTAGAGCAGCTTGCAGCAGACACCTGAGTTTGTGAGGCAGGTCCAGAAGGGCCAACAAAGGAGAAAGCCAAGGAGACATCCCAAAGAGCTGTCCCTGCAGCTGCACACCCCTGCTGTGCAGCACGTTTGGCCAGGACATCACTGGCAGGTCCCCACACCACCAGGGACAGGCTGGTGCCCCTTGTGCCAGGTGGAAAAGGCACAGGTGAGCTGTCAGCACGGCCCCAGGTAACACTGAACCAGACAAAGCAGGAAAACTCCTTTCTAGAAGCACCACAGCCATAGGAACGGTGGCTGGAAGGGCCCTCACAACATCTGACTTTTTCACACACCCCTTGGGGCTCCCAGAATCAGCTGCAAATGGCAAATTCCAGGATCCACCAATCACTCCTCCAAGCCACCACCAGCCCCAGCGAGTTCAGTAAACACAATGTACTGTAATTATCAACTGACCACATACTGCAGCTGATTCTAACCACTGCCAGAGGTCAGCTCCTGGACAGGATGGGAACCAGGGCTGGGGTGTTTGCTGCATTTCCTGGATTGTTTCAGATACTGGGAATAACAAACAACAATGTGGGGCCACTGCAGAAAATGCTCAGAAGGGACCTAGAACGAACCCAGGTCTGTGCAGTGACATGCACAGGCCATGTCTAAATAACACCACCCCCTGTTTGTCCTCAGGAGAGGCAGGGAGGGGTCACAGCAGCACAGGAGAGGCAACCCTGGGGTCGTCCAGAGGTCCCAAAGCATGGCCAGAGTCGGGGCTCCTCCTGCAGCCCACACTGAGAGGGACCAAACCAGAGCAGGCTCTGAACCTCCCTCCTCAGGTGCCTTTCCAGGTGCCCACCTGCACAAGGGCTGCTGGGGAGGCCTCCCCAGGAACTCCTGGTGCCTTTCCAGGTGCCTTTCCAGGCACCCACCTGCACAAGGCTGCTGGGCAGGCCTCCCCAGGAGCTCCTGGTGCCTTTCCAGGTGCCTTTCCAGGCACCCACCTGCACAAGGCTGCTGGGCAGGCCTCCCCAGGAGCTCCTGGTCCCAGGAATTCCTGCAGGGTACCTTCAGCTGTGGAGCACCCTCAGGACTCCCCAGGAATTCCTGCAGGGTACCTTCAGCTGTGGAGCACCCTCAGGACCCCCCAACACTGCAGAAAACGAGAGCACAGAGCAGACAAGGGAGGAACAAACGTGACCCTGAGAAGATGCACAGGGCACAAGCGAGCTGCTCCCCCTCCTGCAGGGAAGCCACGAGCTCTGCTGCTGTAACTGGAGCAGTTCCTGCAGCTCCCAAGGCTCTGCAGCTCCCAGGTGCCAGGCACTGCTGAGCACAGGTGGGTGTCTGAGGGGCACAAAGCCCAGCACAGCCCCTGGGGCTGTCCTGCTCCCACTCTGCACAGAGAAGTGATCAGGGATGAACAGCACCGATGGGAAGTTCACACCTCTGACATCCTAAAGAACCATAATAATTGTGTAAGGAGTAAATAAATTTAAAAAATAACCCCTCTCACCAGCTCATCACTGGCCTGTTTGACTCTGTTTATCTAATGCAGACCAGCTCAGTGAAAAGGAAGTGGGTGAAAGTCTAAATGACAACAAAGGTCCAGGGGAGCAGGAGTTTAGAGACTTGATTTGCTATTGTTTCCTAGAGCCTTCTCCTAATTTTAGAATGCAAGGAAATTCCAGACAAGACATGGTGCTGACCTGCCAGAGTCTGCACACTGGAAAATAACCACAGGGGCTGAGCACTGCTGCCCAGGGCACAGGTAGCCTCAGAACACATGTCCACACTTATAAAGGACATTAGGTTTATTAAATAAATAAACCCAGGCTGTGTACGGTGCAGCAGCTCCCAGCTCCTTCTTTTTTCTTAGAAAGAAAATGAAAAGGTTTCCAGGCCCCGTGGCACTGCCAGAGCTGGGCACAGCCCATGTGCAGAACTGCAGGAGCTGCGTCCCACTTGGCAGAATCACTTACACTGGACCCGAATAAAACATTTAGATGTGACAAAAAGTAAAACCAGCCAACAGCGGTAGCCAGAAAAAACAAACGTGAGAATGACAGTGTTTTCATGCCTGAATGCAGGATTTATATTTGTATTTATGAAAGATGGCAAGAGGATGTGACCAAGAGCTGCAAACGCTGCCTCTGACATAAATTTCCATGTCATTTCCAGGTCAGTATTCTGGGAGCTGAAGACTTCAGCTCAGCCCAACAACTCAGAGCAAAGGCTGCACAGGAGGTTCACTTGTGACACTCGAAATTGAGAACAAATTGATGTAAAAATTCTTACTAGAACTAAGAGTGAAACCTTGATTACACGTCTCTGGAGACTGGCAATTATCCCCTTTGCTAATCAAAGTTTACCCCAATTCCCAGAGCTGACAAAGCAAACCCCTGGATTTGGCACCACACTTAACATCTCCAATAAAGGGAAACTCCCCCAACTTCAACATTTTCTGATTTATAAAATAAAACACCACCAAATGTGCCCAACCCAGGTCCCTCCATATGCAAACTGGACTCAGAGTACAAGAAAATTTGAAGTTTGAAGAAGAAAAAAAGGTAAGCCCAATCTCTCCCTGTTTCCTGGCAGCCCAGAAGCCCAAAGCTCACAAGGACCAGCACAGAAATATTCCAGCACACAGGAATCCAGAATCAGCACGGGAAGATTCCAGCACACGGGAATCCAGCAGCTCAGAGTGTGGTGGAAGTTATCACTAACAAAAAAAAGCTAAAGATTAGGGGGTACCAACATAATAGCAGCTGGGTGTAACTGGGGGAAAAGGCTTTGCAAAGCAGGGTGCATTACAAAGATACTCTCTGTTGAAGCATGGGAGTATTCACAGGGTAGATAAGGCAGAAAACAGCTACAAAACTGTCCTACAATTCAAATTCAGGGACATAAACTCTTACAATGCGCAGAGCAGAGCAGCCACAGTGCAACCAACTGGAAATATATTAAATAGTCATTAATTACGGACAGGTATAAAAGAGTTTGTAAAGAACCATATGCCAAAAGGTAAGAAATGCTCCACAAAAATGACAACATTGCAAAAAAAGGCAGAAAACTGAAATTCAGGCTCCTCACCAGGTTTTCAGGTGTAACATGAACACAGCAGCCCCTCGGGAGCCAAATGCATGCAAACACATTCAAGGGTTTTCACTAAGTTCTGAAACTAAATTCAGATACTTCAAAACTTAAAAAAGTCAAAAAAAGCAACCTAGACCCATGGATTTTTCAGTCTAAAGGGACAGATATAATCTGATACAATATCCTTCCAATCCTTTGTATATCACAGACCCATGAAATTGGAAGGTACCTGGGGATCTCCAGTCCAGCCTCCTGCTCAGGGCAGGATCAGGATGAGGCCAGAGCAGGCTGCTCAAACCTTCAACCAGGGGGGATGGCCCAAAACTCCTCTGGGCCCCTGGCTCCACCAAATAATGATCCTCCCAGGGCAGCCTCTTGGCTCCAGTGGTCCACAGGCCTCTGTGAAACCAACAAACCCCTCACGCATCCCCCTCTGCTGCTGCCAGTCACATACTGAGTGTGGTCAACATCACCCCTCAGATGGAGCCAGCAGCGTTTGGGGGGCTCCTCATGGGCTAAACCCTGCCCAGTGACACCCCAAAATCACCACACATCCCCAGTCACACAGCTCCCCCCTACAGACCTGCCTCTTCCTTTCTGCATCCTGTCCTTGTCACGGGGTGGCTTTTTTCCCCCTTAACTGGAGAATGGAGACACCTGGTGCTGGGTTTTCAGTGCCGAACTCTGTTTTGACTGGAAGTTATGTGATGGCAGTTTTGGGACGCCAAACCATAGAAAGGTTTGGGTAGAAAGGGACCGTCAAGACCATCCAATCCCACTGGCTGCCATGGCAGGGACACCTTCCACTAGCCCAGGGTGCTCCAAGCCCCATCCAGCCTGGCCTTGGACACTCCCAGGGACCCAGCTGCTCTGGGCACCCTGTGCCAGGGCCTGCCCACCCTCCCAGGGAACAATTCCTTCCCAAGATCCCATCCATCCCTGCCCTCTGCAGTGGGAAGCCATTCCCCTTGTGCTGTCACTCCAAGTCTTTGTGCAATGTCGCTCTCCAGCTTTCCTGGAGCCCCTGCAGGTACTGAAAGCCTGCACTAAGGTCTCCCAGAGCCCTCTCTTCTCCCAGCTGAACAATCCCAAGTCTCTAGCCTTTCATCACTGGAGAGGTGCTCCAGCCCTCT